GAAGTTCTTGAAAGGCATCTTACTAATGCATGCCTATGTGGTTCAGACAGGCATATAATTTGGCCACGAGAAAGTTGGTAACCATGATAGTTTGGTTGAAACCTAATTTCCAGCTTTGGTGTACCACAATGATAGCTCACAACCCCTGTCTATCCAGGAGATGGCATTTTAGCTGCCAATCATTCAGTCAATCAGTTCTTGTAAGGGCTTTTTGGAAGAGCTACAAGTCAGAATAACTCAAAGGGATGGGTTAAAACAAACTATATGTCCAACATCAGAGGACTACTCAAAGTAACCTAAATATCCAGCAATTACTGAACTTTCTTAAGTAAAATATGGCGGATTATACAAAGGTAGGTATGCTCTCTTCCCCTTTTTGTAGAAAACATGGTAATATGTATATTTAAATATACATCAAGGAGAATCTAAAAGGATACACACTAAAGGGTCATCAGTGGTTGTTCTGTGTGGGTGGTTTTATGCGGATTCTTTAAGTCCTTTTGCTTATCTATATATTCTGATTTTTCTTAATGATCACAAAGTAATCATTTTTTTGTAAAAAAAAAAAAAAAGTAGGCCATGCAGAAACTATACAATAGTTCTATTTTCAATTCACTAAAATTATCAACACTATAAAGACTGAAATATCAACTCTTTACCAAATTGTTGTTCTTACAGAATTATATTAAACGCTATGGTTTTCAACTATTTCCTATATTGCCATGTTTCTGCAAACTTAAGTATCCTTCCTTGTTCCCTAAACCCATCATGTGACTCTTTTTTTAGCCTGGCATCTTCTTTCTTCTTTAAATGTCCAATTCATGTGTCACCTTCCTTGAGAAGCTCTTCTTGACCCCTCATCTGCTTTTGGTCAGAGGTCTATGGTGAACTGTGGCTCACAAGTTAAATCCATCCAACACCTATTTTTGTACAGCCTCTGAACTAAGAAGAACATTAGCATTTTTAAATGGTTGAAAAAAAATCAAAAGCAGGAAGTTAACAACTCATGAATGTTATATTAAATTTAAATCTGAGCATCTATTAATAAAGTCCTATTAGAAGACAGACATGCTTTACTCATGAGTATATTGCCTATGGCTGTTTTTCCCCTGCAGGGGCAGCGTTGAATAGTTTTGGCAGACACCAAATGGCCCATAAAGTCTTTTTTTTTAATTTGCTCCTTAGTTCTTTACAGAAAAAGTTTGCTGACACAAACTTTAGATGATTAGGCTTCCTCAGTGCCCACGTAGAACCCTACATCTGCCTCTAACTCAGATCCTACCGCATATTCAGGAAGGGATGGTTTTCTTAGGATTCCCATTGCTTTGACATGGAGGGCACTTTCTAATTTAACCTGGTCTCCCAGTACCGAGCAAAGTGTCTTAAACACAGGAGGCACTTGATACGGAAATTCATGATGCTTGCAGGAACGCTGTTAACCTCAACTCCCTCAATTAGAATGTAAGGTACATGATGGCTAGCTCAGTTGGCGAAGCATCCTACTTATGCTGAGGTCATGATCTTGTGGTTCATGAGTTCGAGCGATGTGTCAGGCTCTGTGCTGACAACTCAGAGCCTGGAGCCTGCTTCAGATTCTGTGTCTCCCTCTCTCTGCACATCTTCCATTTGTGCCTTGCTCTCTTTCTCAAAAATAAATAAAAAACATTTAAAAAAATTTTTAAAAAGAATGTAAGGTATATGAGGACAGGGATTTTATCTCCCTCGTTCACTGTGTATCCTCAGCATCTAGAAAAGTTGCTGGAATGTTGTAGGCATTTGGAAAATATTTGTGGAAGCTGTTAAGTGCAGTAACGTTGGTACCATATTTCTGAGTTTTCTAATTCTTAGATCAATTCTTAGGCTTTCAGACCATGCTATTTGATCATTAATGAAAATAAAACTCCACCCCTCAACCCTCAGAGAAGTGGAGAAAAGACAGTGTTCAGTTTGTCATGAAAGGAAGTGGCTAAGGGGCCTTCTCAAGAACCAGTGGATTTGCCCTACTCCTCGGTGCATCTCAATATAGGCGTACAGCCTGGTACTACCTCTTCCTTTCACTCACTTGGAGCAACTACGTCAGGGCAGGTATTAAATCAACATCGTGCTGACACTGAGTTATTAAATACCTGGGGCAGCCATGGCTCTCAAAGCAGAGTGAGACTCAGCAACCTGGCCCTGTTTCAAATCGGGATGATATGTACTTCAAGAGATTAATGTGCAAATATAAATCACAGCCTAAACACTTCAGCTGGCCTTGGACACTCTTCTCCCAGTGAGGTGAAAGCTCCTGATAAAGGATGAACTCACTACTTTTCGTACAAACTCTGTGAGTTTGCAGGAAGGATAAACTAAGAATCCCCATCCTGTGCTGAATAGAGAGAGTCATAACATCTCAAATGTTTACAGTACTATATTCTGTAATACTGTTCTAGAAATGGTTTTCCTAAATGCTAAGTGTACCCACTCAGTATCTGATCACATCACACCTGTGTTGTGATGGGCTTTATATTCTGTTTTGTAGATTGAGGGTGAGGATTCATGTCTTTATTTACGTTTTTGTGACATTCCCAGGAAGTGCATACTGCTATCTCCTCAGGCCCAGACATTTCCAGCAAGATAGATTGATTGATTGATCTTTATTTATTTATTTATTTTTAGATGTTTATTTATTTTAGAGAGAGAGAGAGAGAGAACACAAGTACGAAAGGGGCAGAAAGAGAGAGACAGAGACACAGAGAGAGAGTCCCAAGCAGACTCCATGCTATCAGCGCAAAGGCTGATGCAGTGCTTCAACGCATGGAACCGTGAGATTGTGATCTGAGCTATAGCTGGCTGCTGGCTGACTGAGCCACCAGGCGTCCCCAGCAAGGTAGACTTTTAAATGCAGAGGTCAGACTATCTGTTTGCCAATCACTCACTTTTGGTGAGAAGGCCTGGCCAGTGTCCCCAACTATATGGTTCTTGGCAGCCCAGATTACTAACCTTTTCCTCCTCACTCCAGAGAGCTGCCACACAGTGGCTTTCTGGGATTCATGCATGGTTTTATGAACCCTGATTTATCAGGAACTGTCTGCCCCACTGCCTCATCATGGTGAAGTCAGAAGTATTTCCAGTTTAGAAGAGCCCTGTGCTCATGCACATGCAAGGATGATGGGAAAAGAGATTTGGCCTTGGCTTTCTGTTCTAAATACACACACACACACACACACACACACACACACACACACACACGTCTTTTCAGAACCTACATTTTAGCTTTTTATCTGTTTACATAATAATAAGCATGATTGTGAACACTAATGAAAAAGGGTAAAAGGGTAAAAGTAGTGAAGTCACTTAAAATAGAAACTGCAATCTCCATCACTGTTGTAAGAACAGGGACCCTTGAGGAGGTTTGATTCTGGAGGGACACCCGGAGGTGATGTGATATACAATGGGCACAGGCTGCGCGGTCAGAGATACGCACGGCCACATGCAACCTTGACTTCCTGAGCCCATTTCCTCTCTGAATGGTTTCCTCATCTCTAAAATGGGGACAGCCCCTTTTGACGTTTTGTGAATAGTAGTCATGAGATAATTTAGATAGTTCAGAAGATGTCAGCCACTCCCCATGTGGACCCAGGGCACTGGCTTGGCTCAGAGATATCTGGCACCCACTTTCAGAGGTTATATTGGTTGTTCTCTCTGAGTAACCTCTCTGGATGGCAGAACAATAGAAACAGACTAAAAGAGACAGACCCAAGAACTATTGGAGAAATAGCCTAGTGAAACAAAATCCTCTTGATTGAAGATAATCCAAAGCTTTGTATGTAGAGCAAACAATTAATGAATGAGTGGCCCAGAGAGCTTTGCCAGGACCACTGTTAGACTCTGTAGGACACAAAGGAAACACTGCTAATCATAGTTAAGACAAAGGGCTTTAAGAGATTTATAGCTTTCATAAGTTGGAATGGAGCACTGGAGCTGGATGAAGGAAGTCTCGGACATGCCTTTCTCTAATTTGAATTCAGGTCTTCCTTGAGTGACAGAGAGGTGGAATAGAATGATATTTGGGGATTAGAAATACAAGTGCCTGTGTCCCTGGATATGTGTCGAGGATGTCAATGTCACCATTTGTGTAGGGCACACAAAGGTGGAGGCCCGCTGGACTAAGGCTCATCTAAGGATAGTTCAAAGGGAGGCTTGGGAGGTGAATCTTTAGTATCGGCTACAAGACAGCTCTCCATTCGGGGCTTATTTTCCAGGAATTCCCTTAATGAAATTTCCTCTACCAAGAAGCATTCCTTCATTTTTTTTCTTTCCTCCAGAAATAGTTGACATTAACTGTAAAGGATTGAATCAACTCCTGGGTATCTATAAGCCTCTTGGGAGCGGGTCTAACATCAGTGCATCCAGGATGATAAAAGCCACTTCGGGATCTTTCCTACAGCTTTTATCTCACTACCAAGAAGACTGAAGAAAATTTTTGATTTCATACGTTTTAGAAAGAGCTCTGATCGAATTATCTGGGATGTGAAAAAACAAAGAGGAAAATGCTAGGGACCCAAGCCCTTTTTGGGTAAGAATGTCATATTTTTAATATTTAGCAATGTTACATAAACACCTGACAGATGTATCAAACTCAAGCACACAAAAATTAGTTTGTTTTAAAAAAACCAAAAAACTTCAATCCAAATTTATTGGGATTACAAAAATAACAGCACATTTCATTAACTCATAACAGCTCAGAGTTACCAACACATCCCAGAGATAGAAGAGCATCTTTAAATAAACTGCTTCTTGCCAATACAAATCTCATAACATAAAAAAGTAGTTTATTTGCATATTTACAGAAGAAACATCCTGATTGTTTCTTAAAATTCTCTTTGGAATTAATAGGTGAGGCTATTTTTAAAGTCAGGAAACATTTCAAATTGAAGAAGGTATATTAGAAACAGCTCATAATGCATTTTATTCAATACCCCTGAACGAATCTGCATCTTCTTCCAAAGATGGTGTTTTTATCGCAGAGCTTCTGGAACTTCCACCTAGAAGAACGAGGAATTGTCTTTCAATAAAACAACACAAAAGATAAACAAGAAATAGGGTATGTCTCTAGCAGTATTCCCTAAGACTAACTCAGATGTAGGTTGATTATTGCTGTGTGATATTCAAAGTTTATATTATAAATTAGGGCTTATTTTTTCATGTTTATTTTTACTTTTATTATCTTTTTAACTTTATTTATTTTGAGAGAGAGGGCGCACGCGCGTGAGTTGGGGAGGGGCAGAGGGAGAATTCCAAACAGGCTCCGAGCTGACAGCACAGAGTCCGAGATGGGGCTCTGATCTCACAAACTGTGAGATCATGACCTGAGCCGGAATCAAGAGACAGATGCTCAACCGACTGAGCCACCCAGGTGCCTCTATAATGTAAATTCAGTTTTAAATCACCTGCAACTTGATCATCTTTTTTGGAATATAGATTATATTCCCTGATTTTCTTATTAAGGAAATCAGGATTTTTATATATTGGAGTGCCTTAAAATAGGCCTGGCCCTTCTGGAATTGAGGGGCTAAGAAGGTGGGCCAGGCACACTTCTCCAGTGGAAATGTGCCCACTGGTGACCCGCTCCTGGTGTTCCAAATTGGGACGCTTGCTCTCGCATACTAAAATATTTTAAACATTCACAAATGTGTTGAAAGGTGATTTTGGTACTATTGTATAATAGGGGTTCACTCACTGCACTGTGCCCCAAATCCGCCCTTGGGTTACTTACCCGCCTTAGCTGTTTTATGCTGCTTCCCCGAATAGCTTCCATGAGATTCTCATGAGCTGATCTCAGTGGGGTAGAAGGGCGGGAAGTGTCTTCCATTTTCTTCTCTTGCACTGACCTCAGGGAATTTTTAACTTCCTTTAGGATATTGTTTGGCTGTTTCTTAACCTTTTTCCCTTTTTTCTTCTTCTGTCCATTTTGTAATGCCCGCTGGGCACTCTCCTGCTGTTTGATGACTTCTGCAATGTTTCGAGTGATTAGTTTTTTCTCTGGGAGTGGAGGAGGTGGTGGTGGAGGAGGAGGGGGCAGCTTTTGGGGAGGAGGAGGAGGAGGAGGAGGAGGAGGGGGTGGGGGAGCGGGAGGGGGTGGGGCCATGGGCGACGGAGGACGACTCCTCCTCACAGTTTGGACTTTCTTGGGGAGTTTGGGGGATGACCAGGGAGAGTGCCTGGGAGATGCTTGAGGTGAAGAGCCAGGTGTTCCTCTTTGCCAGACTTTGGTCCTAAGATTGGCTCCTCCGTCATAGCCCTCTTGCTGTTTTTGCTCCTGCATCCGCTTCTGCCTCTGTTTATCCATATTTCTCGTTAAGAGGCTCGTCATGCTCATTCTTGGTCCTGGGAGCTCAAAATGGTAACCCAACCTCAGCAGCGTGGTGTTCTCCCTGAGCAGCTTAACGATCTCCATCTCCACCTGGCTGCCCATGATGTGCCTCTGGTTGTGGAAGCGCAGCTCTGTGAGCACCGTGTTGTGCTGCAGAGCCCTCATGATGGCCAGGATCCCCTTGCCCGTGATAAAGTTGGACTCCACGTTGACGTTCGTGATGTGCTGGTTGACTCTGAGCATTTCTGCAATGGCCATGGCCGCACTGTCGTCCGCGCGGGTGTTGGCCAGACTGAAGGTCTTCACCACCGTGTTGCCCTTGAGTGCCTCGGCGAAGCGGGCGAGGGTCGGCGACGTGATGTTCTCGATGTTGTTCAAGTTGACCTCTGTGGTGTCAGGGTCGTTGTTCCTTATCTTTTCCAAGGCATCCTCAATCACGGTAGGATTTCCGCAAGGGTGAATGGCAGCTGGCGACTCCGTGTTCCTTCCACTGTGGCCGTTGGTCAAATTTATGTTTTCTATCTGACTTTTAAATGTCTTTGGCTTAGAATTTTCAGAATCGATGCTATCATAATTTACAGTTCCATTAATACCTTTCTCCTTGTCAGTTGTTCCTTCCTCTTCCTCCTCTTCCTCCTCTTCTTCCTCCTCCTCCTCCTCTGTATACACCTCTTCAGAAATTTCACTGTTACTTTCAGTAAAAATAAGCTCTTCCTCACTCTCTTCTTTGTCTTCTTCCGCAACCTGAAGAGCACGGTATCATCAGTAAATTGGTCCTTTTTAAGCACATTTTTTTTTTTAATTTGCAAAAGTAACACACGGTTTTGCAATATATCAAATCACTATGTTGCACTAAAAGCACAACAAGGTTATATGTGAATTATCTCAGTAAATAAGAAAGGGGGGAAATAACACACAACACGTAATATAAAAGCAGGTAAGAAAAAAAGTTCACTCTCTTGCTTCTGACCTCTCCACTTGGGGTGATGACGGTTATTATCTTTCATTGCGTATCTTTCAAAGGCTTTTTTTAATTGTTAGAAAATTCTTTATTTGAAGACAGTCTTCTACCTCCGTATATCTTTCCAGTGCCCAGAGTTCTGCTCTGTGAAGCAAAACCAAATAAGCTGCTCCCCTTCCAAGTCCACAGTTTTTTAAACAAACATTTCTTTTGTTCTCTGCAGCATAAATATTTAGAACTCAACCTACTGTATTAAAATTTACTATCATTTTGTCAGTTTGAACAAATGCGTCAGAAGTTCAGCTTTGGAAAACCCTTGATACGTTCTTCATTCTCTTTAACTACTTGTTCTGAGCGACTTGGCTCCTTGTTTACTCAGAATTTAGACAACTCAACCCTCCCATCTGGAATCACTCCTCCATCTTTCCTTATTTCTCCATCCCGAACAAACGACAACAAGAATAGACAACACGTTACTGGATTCCCTTTTTTTAACGCTCAAAATTCTTCCTCAAATTTGCCCCCACTAGCAGCTGCGACAGCCACTGGGTGCTCTGTGTCCCAGCTTGGCTCAGTGAAGGCAGAGGCAGGGGCGTCCTTTGCTTCTCCAGCATGAACCTCCCTCTGGGGGAGAGCCTGGCGCAGGGTCTCAGAGACCCCGTACTCCCAGAGGGCAGCCGCTGCCCTGTTGCTGCTGTGGGGAAGGGAAGCCGAGGGGGCTCTGGAGTTAACCTTGATCCTTGTGAGAATGGGGGTGGGAAGGTGGGGATGCGGTGAGGCATGAGGGCTGGTAGAGAAAACACGAATGTTGGCACTCTTAGGGAATAAATAAGGCAACAGGAAGGTAGTGGCCAACCATGTCTCCTGATCACCTCCCTGGCATCTTTACATGAACAAGAGGCAATAGGCTTGGTTTTCGGTTCTGGTTGTGGGTCTACCCCTAAAGAGCTGATTGACTGTAGTCAAAGCAGTAAACCTCTGAGAGGTCTCAGTATAGTTGAGTGGTCCTCAACTGTGGTGTGGATCACCTGAGGGGCTTGTGAGAACACAAAATGCTGGGCCCCACTCCGGGAGGTCTGGGAAAGCCCTAGAATGAGCCAGCCGTTCCAAGAAATTCCCAGGTAATGCCGAGGGGTTGGGCACTCACAATTTACGAATCGTGGTCTTGGCATCAGCAGACCTTGGTCTGAGTATCATATCTCCCCCCACTGGTAACTTCCACTGAATTTCTTAACCTCTCCTAGTCTCAATTCTCATGTGCAGGGGTAAGAATTCAACTAAATAATGTGAGTGAACTTATTGGCACCTATGCCTGAGACCCAGCAGATACTCAAATTAGGGGAGCTAGACACTCTGGTCTCCAAGCCCCTTGGAGCTCAATGCAGCATAAGTTTGTGTGAACCCAAGTGGACAGAGGCTGTCAGTCAACAGGAGTTGAACATGATTTTCATAAGCCTTTACAGAGCCAGTGGCCTGATAACCAAGACCCCCATCTCCTCTCGTGGTCCAGATTGCACTTGTCTTCACTTACATGGGCACTCCCCTCCCCCGCACCTCCCCGCCAGCTGACTTGAACTTTGTCCTGTGATGGGAATGGGTTTATACGCTGTGAGACTTCTGCTCAGCCCTCCTTGTGACCACAGAGACAGCTGGCCAGCTGGGAAAACGTCCTGGGAGAAAAGTTAACTACCCAGAAGGGAATCAAAGTTCATCAACACGCAGCCCGTCTAGTTGAGCCATTGGCAGGGATCAGCAAACCCTTTGGCAGGATCAGGATGCGTTCCGACAGAACTGACAGCAGGCTTTGCCCTTTGTTTCGTACTGATATCAAGACCTTCTGACACGAAAATGCCCTTGCTGGTGACTGCTGCCATGGCTGTCTGTCCTGGATATTCTGTGGCAATTGTCATCATATTTTTATCAAGGAAAGTCTTTAAGAACTATAATCAAAATGTTATACAGTTTATCAGATTTTTGACACACATCCCCCCATTGGAGGGGAAAAAAAAGACCTCTAAAAATCAGAGTTGTGGAGGAACTGACCAGCCCAGTCCTGGCCTCACTTTCCCCTTCCACCCCTCAGTGCACGCAGCCACGGTGGCCTTGGCAGACCCTGGCCTGATCCCAGTGACCCTTCCCGCGATGATTGACATGAACAAGGCTCACACATATCTTGCTACAAATGTGGCCCACACACCCTGTCATCAAGATCATCTAACAGTGCCTGGATTAGTACTGTGGCAGTCTTGCCATTGGATTCAGGCCATTTTGATTTTAGATGATTCTAGTGGAGCCCAGGGGTTTTAAACCGTTGCTCCTGACCTGTGTTCTGCCATAGATTCAGACACTTATTATACTGTATTCGAATTGCTATTGCCATTACTATTTTCCCAGAGCATAGTCTTTTATACTTTCTTCTCTTAATGATCGTAATCTTAATGATCGTAATCCAAAGTAACAGTTTACTGAGCAGAACACAAGAGCTTAACAGACCCGAGCTCTAATATACACACATTTCCCGGTCTCAGATCACCCTTATAAAGCAGGAAGGAATAGAGGTTATCTACTCAGATGTGTTTAACCTGGGTCCTCAGGTGGGTTTCAGGGTGTGTGTCATCATTTTGAAATTGTGTGTATGTGTGTGTGTGTGTGTGTGCACAAGACATGTACATTATCTGCAGGAGAAGTCATGTAATTTATCACAATCTCAAAGGGGTTCTTGATTTACAAAAGAAACCCTAGATTCAACTCCTTCAATGGACAGATGGGAAAGACACCTCTGCAGAGATGGACTCTCTGTTCAAGGTCTAACAAGTTAGGGATAGTACAGGGACTTGAAATAAGGCTCCCCCGGCTCTTAATGCTGCATATTTTCCACCACTGCTCACTTTTTGGTGATGGGGAAAAAAAAGAATTATTTTTACTGTAGTCATCATTACAGTCAAAGCAACCAGAGTACTCACTTTCTGTCTTGGTAGAAGGAAATAAGTCTACCTAACTGCAATATATATGTAATGTCACACATATTATGCCATGTCAGCAGCTTATAGCTCAAATTAGACTTATGTTTGGCAATATATCTAAACCCATGACTTGCTTGTGAATTATTTTCCTCTTGAAAATCCCATCTTGATTGATTAAAAGTCCATCGAAAGATCCCAGCTAAGAATTTTACTTATTATGATCCCCTGGGTGGCCTGAGGAATTGTTCAGTAGCAGGTGCAAATGGGTTATGAGGAAAGAAAATTGAAGAGGGCTAAAATGTTAGAGAAAACAGGTTCCCGGGTTGGGGATGGGGGTCAGGGGTGGGAGTAGCTAAGGAAAAAACCTGAGAGCCTACCTTTCCACACTCCCCCAGCCTCTCCTTCTCCAAGAGTTTTTGGGACTCCTTTTCCCAATAGGCCATCAGTGCCTCTCTGCTGAATGTCCCCGTGGGGGTTTTCTCGGTCAGACTCTTTTGCCTTAGCCCCACGGGAAGGCTGTGATCAGGTTCAATGTCTTCCAGCTCCCTCTCTAGCTCCTTCAGCTCCTCAGCTGACAGGGAAGCGAGAAGTTCATCCTCATCGATGGATTCATATTTGCTAAGTCCTCTCCTGTAGCCAAAGGTAGACATTGTCCCTGCTTCGTCAGACCCACAAGGAGCTCAAAGAACCAGGCATTCAAGGCAGCCGGCAGCAGGCAGGGAGGCAAGTAGGCAGGCTGGTCGGCAACTGGCACTCAGAGTGGCCTTTTAAGAGCGGTGATACAGGGCCGTGACAATGCAGAGAGGGGGTGAAAGCATGGGCTGTTTTAAGCAGCAGACGTCAGCTAGACATTTGAACACAAAGAATGTCACATCGGTGGTGGATGGAGGTCTCAGAACCAGTGGGGATTATTGACATACTGGCCAGGGACATATTTAGCTGAGCCTGATAGCTCATGAGACAGGCAGGGAGTGTTGCAGATAGAGAGTAACACAGTCCTCACTTTGTATTCAAACAACAGGGGAATAAAACTTATTTTGAAAATGACTTGCTACCACCACCATGGCCATGAAAAGATTCTTTGATTATAATCTCAGAGGCTGAGAAATGACTACACATCACTCTATAAGTAGTTATGCAGGTTCTTCTAAAAACATACTGTGGGTGGCTTTGATGGTAGCAGAAGGCTGTGGTAATATAGCAGCTTAAACTTTCATTGTGTTCTGCAGTTTACAAGACACTAAGCATAACAAATCCTGTGAGCTGATTACCCTCCTTTACCAATTTTGGCAACTGAGGCTCTGAGAGATTAAGTGAAAACTTTGAAGCTGGAAGTATCCAAGTGGCTTTCTCCACTGCACAAAATGGCTTCCTTCCCCTCAACCAGAAGTATTAGTAAGTAGCTAGATTTGCAAATAAAACTCCAAAAAGACAAATAATAATACTGGGTATAGCTTATTAGTGCTCTGCACTTTATATATTTTTATCTCATTTAACCCCACAGTCCTTTCAGGTGTATATTGTCATCCATATTTTGCCAGTACAGCCACAGAGAGGTTAAGTAACTAGCCCACAGCCACAGAGCTAAAAACGTAGTGAAACTAGAATTTGGACCCAGATTGGTATGTGGGCTGAAAGCTGAAGAAATGCTAACATGAAATTATATATATATTTGTCTGTATTCTTATGATTGTGAAAAAATATATACATAGCTTTTAGGAGCTCAGCAATATATCATTTTAGCATAGATATATAAAGAGCTGTTACAATGTGTATGCACAGAGTATACACTTATTAATACATGTATAATATGCCATACTTTGTTTATGACATTCCATAGTTGGTGAATATTTGAGTTACTTCCAGGTTTGGGCTGTTATAAATAATGCTGTGAACATTTATATGCAAGTCTTTGTGTAGCCATATGTTTTCATTTTTCTTCGGTAGATAGTAGCAGTGGATTTGCTGAGTTATATGGCATATTTACATTTAACTGTTCAAGAAATTGTGGAATTATTTTCCAAAATGGCTTCTCCCACTTATGTTCCCATCAGACATGATGTGAGTTCCAGTCTCTCCACATTCTAGTTTGTTCCTGCCCATCTTTCTTTAATTTTTTATTTTTTAAATTTTTTTCTTTTAATTTTTAAAAAAAAAAATTTTTTTTTAATTTATTTCTAGGAGAGAGAGAGAGAGAGAGAGACAGCATGAGCAGGGGAGGGTTAGAGAGAGAGGGAGTCACAGACTGAAACAGGCTCCAGGCTCTGAGCTGGCAGTCAGCACAGAGCCCGACGCGGGGCTCGAACCCACGAACTGGGAGACCATGAACTAAGCGAAAGTCAGACGCTTAACCGACTAAGCCACCCAGGCGCCCCAGTTCCTGCCCATCTTTCTGATTATAGCCATTTCAGTGGGCGTTAAATACGTCTCACTGCAGTTTTCATTTTCATTCTTCTCATTACTAGTAATGTTGAGCATCATTACATACATTTATTTTTACCTTGATAAAGTATTTTTTGGAACAAATCTTACACTTATTCTAAATTGGGTCATCTTCTTACTATTGGCCAGTAAGTTCTATAACATATTCAGGACTCCAGCAAGTGTATGATTTGCAGATATTTTCTTCCATTCTGTGAATTTTCCACTGGTGTTTTTTGAAGAGTGAATGCTTTTAATTTTGATGAAGTCCAATTTATCAGTTTTTTCATCTACTACTTGAGTCCTTGGTATTATCTAAGAAATGGTTTCCTAATCCAAAATCAGATTCTCATTCTTATGTTTTATTTCTGAGAGTTCTATAGTTTTAGGTATTTATATATAGGTCTGTTACTCATTTCAACTTATATTTGCATATGTATAAGGTGAGGGTCTAAATTTGTCTTTTTGCATACAGATACCTGATTGGTATTACATCTTTTGGCTTAACATCTTTTTTGGAAACAACTACACTTTCCCCTATTGAATTGCATTGATGCCTTTGTGGACAATTAATTGGCCATAAATGTAAGGATTAGTCTGCAGAGTCATTTCTGCTCTATGGATCTATATGTCTATTTTTTCTGTGATACCACCTTGTCTTAATTGCTATGGACTTGTAGTGCCTGTTGAAATCAGGAGGTGTTAAGTTCTCCAGCTTTTTTTTTTTTTTTTTTTTGCAAGAATGTTTTGGCTATTATGATCTTAACTCTTACTCATGATGGTACTCTGCCTCCAAAAATAACTATGACTCTTTTCAATGATACTTATGAGAGAGATGATTATGAAATTAGAAATGGTGACTTCGTTGGGTTTTTATGGGCTATAGCATATACCTTTTGTGTAGCCTTACTGGTCACACACCTTTTTTATGCGGAAATGGGTTTGATTTTTGGAAATGATTTCGAATCACAACAGCCAGATTTGGTGAAGGGGATAAGAGTTATTCAGCTGTATAAAACATTTTAGGTAAAATAATGACTACAGTTATATCAAAACCTAGGTGCTTTTTGAAAGCAAAGAGATAAGAAGGGGTATGTAATTATGTACCAAAAAAACCTACAGTGGAATTGTGCTTTCTCTTTCTCTCTTCCTCCCACCTCTCATGGTTATAATTTTTCTGTAACATTTTAATATTATTTTTATTTGATAATTGATTAAACACACACTGTATGCCGGATTCCAATTTAGGTACCGTAGTAAAGAAAACCAACAAAATCCTTTCTTTTGTGGAATTTACTTTCTTTAGTTGGAGGAAACAGTATATAAATAAATACAATCCATATCCCACAGAAGGTCTATGGAGAGAAATAGAGCAGGGTGAGAAGAGAGAAGGTTGTGGGGGTAATATTTCATATAGGCAAGATCTCTATAATCAGGTGACATTTGAGCACACTCCTGGAGAAATAAAGGCTTGATGCACGCAGATTTTAATATACATTTGGTGTGATAGGTATTCTTGGAACCACAGATTCTCAACTTTCAAAGGGACTTTGAAATACATAAATCTTCTCATTATCATTTCTGTAAGCGGTCACCTAGGGTTTGTTTGAACACTTTCAGTGAAAATTATACATGAGCAAAAACTTATTTCATTGTTGGATGGCTCAAATCATTAAAAAAAAAAAAAAAAGGTTTTCTATTGTGTTGAAATGCGTCTCTTGAAAAATCACCCCATATATTTTAGTTTTCTCATTGGAACAATGAGAAATTTAATAAATAATAAGGAATAATAAATAAATAATGATAAAAAGAGAGAGAGAGAGAGAAAGAAAGAAAGAAAGAAAGAAAGAAAGAAAGAAAGAAAGAAAGAAAGAAAAAAGGAAAGAAAGAAAGGAAGAAAGAAAGAAAGAAAAAAGGAAAGAAAGAAAGAAAAGAAAGAAAGAAAGAAAGAAAGAAAGAAAGAAAGAAAGAAAGAAAGAAAGAAAGAAAGAAAGAAAGAAAGAAAGAGAAGGAAAGAAGGAAAGAAGGAAATTGAGTCTCATGTGAGTTTCTTCTCCCAAATCTTGGATGGCTGATGAATGACTTTGGAAATGAATCTGGAAGAGCGCTGTTCTGTGACAGCATCGCTGAAAAACAATGAGGGCCTCTCAAGGACAGTACCTTAAGAACAACGGTCCTTAGATATCCTTGTGTATACATTACCAATCACTCTGAGTGCCATAATAATCACAACTCATGGATGATCTTAGTTCACTGGATCCCCCTCTAGGTATTCTCCACAAACTTAAAATCCATTGGATGAAATTCTGTTGAGCAGTTAAACATGACCACCTGACCCCGGCCAGACTTAAATATGATGAATAATTTAGATTGCTTTACAAACCTGTCTACCTTGAGGGGAGCAGGAGGGGGTGTGTAACCTTTTTCTTTGAGGATAAAGACCCAATCAAATATGATCCTGGCACCAGGATTTTCTATTTCGGGTTTTTACTTGATTACAGCGTGTTTTTTTAGTAGAATTGCTTTTACAGTCAATAATACTACAAGCCTTTTGACGACTAGCATCTTTTGTTCAGAAAGTATCTATCTCGGGGAGAATCATTTCCATTGTTCTTGGCTCACAATTGCATATACACAATTTCACATTATATTGGCAATTTCCTTTTTAGTGAAAACAGTTTCCTTTTTCAATAGTTTTTCTCTTTTGGTTTCACCCTGAAAATACTATCATTTGTTGGTTTATTTAACACACATTTACCAAGTGCCCGCTGGGTGGACAGGTACTGGGCAGGAAGCTAGGATTACAAACAGAAAAATAGAAATTGATCTAGTCCCTGGCCTCAGGAGCTCACACTCCTGGGAGAGAGGCAGACAGCTGACAGTAACAGAGCGCAGGGACAGCTCAGCACGATGCCAGCAAAGGGACAAACGTGGAGTACAGATGAAGCAGCAGTGCGGCCCACGGAGGAGGAGTCGGAGAAGGCCCAGAAGCTGATAAAGAGCTTTCCAGACAGAGATAGTGGCCTCCGGGCAAGTACATAGGAGTATGAAAGCAAAAATAAAAACAAAACCCCTGGCGTTATTCCATAAAGGGGTGGAGAGGAGGTAGAGATGGGCAGAAAACGGCCCCTGGCTCACCCACTATTTCCGATACAATGCCTTGCTATCTTCCCCCCAGCCTCAATTCTTTTTTTTTTTTCCCCCAACAGCCATCAGCATCATGGTAGAT